ATTCAGATTAGATTGTTAAAAAAAATACCCCACAAAAAGGAAAAAGTTTTCATATTTAAATATGTTTTAGAACCTGATGTCAGATTTCCCCCCTAACTTGAAGACATTGTCTGTAAAAGGCATTTTGTTAAGTCATCTACAAAACAATGAAGCAGCTAAATAGACAAGCCAGGTTGTATTAGCTAAAGATAGACAAGCCAGGTTGTATTAGTCAAAGATAGACAAGCCAGGTTGTATTAGCCAAGTGTGACCTTATTTTGGCTCGTTCCCAATGAAAAATTGGGGTATGTCTGATTTTTCTCAGATAACAATTCTACATGCGTGTGCATAAAGAAATTGTTCATAAACTAAGGTGATATACTATTTTAGATGATACACTTTGTACAATAAATATCTTTTAGGCATAAAAAGAACAGTTTTCTAATTAATTATTTTCCTACCTTGTCAAAAACATCAATTCGTTTTCCCCAGTATCTGTATGTTATATAGGGGCCTTTCACAAGGTACTATATACAGTAGCTGTTAAAGTTCTCGCTAGCTTTTTCCAGACATCGTTTGCAGCTGATCGTTAAATGAATGAACATATATGTGGCGGTTTGTGTACAAATTACTGGTATTACTTTCCTTTACTCTGTATTTATAGACCAGAGCGAAAATGCTTATCAATAAAGAAACTAATCACCCCCAGACAGTAAAAGGTAGGAAAAATATATAATATCCACATCAATATTCATGAGACAAATTCAATAAACTTGAGCTTCATAATGACAGGATATGTTTTACAATGATATTTGTTATAGACATTCGTTTAGACACTATCTTTAAATTTGGAAGACTAATTTTTGGATGTAAGAACCAAAGATAAATCACCCGAGTTTGTATCCATTCTGACAAAAGTTGGCTTTTCAAATCTATTACAGTATTTTACTTAATTTTCTCTCATTCACCCCTGAAATTTCATAATGAACTATTCCAACCTTTGAATTGGAAGAGTTCAAATATGTCTTCAGGGGTGAATAAGTTAAAGCTTGATTTCTATTTATTGTTGTATTTGTCAGCTGTGTTTATCCTATAATCTGTGTCGTGGTAAGAGGATATCCAATGAGTGATGTAAGAATAGGAAGTGTATACGTGTCTATACGAGTGATTTGATTCTCAAGTATAACTTCCAATCATGGGCGAACAGGGTAGAAATGATAATTTATTGACTCGGGAGAATGTATACCTTAAGGTTATTTAAAACACATATATATCTGAATTTGAAATTATCCAAAAAATAAATGTTTAAAACCATGGGATTGGAGCAATGAAAGCTTTGGCGATTATTGGATTTTTGTTTTACAGCTCATCTACAATTTCAGTTATTTTGAGACAAAACAACATTGTAGAGAAAAAGTTAAAAAAAGAAAAACATCAAAGTTAAACCATTAAACTAAAGGACCAAAAACACAAACAGCATTAGTTCCAAACGGATTGGTTGTACAATACACCACATCCCGTGATCAATTGAATGCCAATATCTAGCCATCAAGGATACAAAAACGGATTCAAACAAGACTTCAAAAGTTGTACATTACAAAATCTGTTTCACGTTTGTTAAAAATCGTAGCCTGCAATCACGAATTGTTCGACTGCAAACAGCTTATCGTGAGCATGCATCGACAACAAGGTCAAGGTCATTTCAGAAAATGTGAGCGTGAGCATTATAGTCCTAGCTCATGCTTCTTAACTTCTTTCAAAGTTACCGGAGTAAATGGTAGAATTTTAAGACCTACTGTATAATGAAATTCAAGCTCTGATAAAGTTGGAATCCCCTGTTTAGAATACTTGGTGTCTTAATTCGAAGTCCCACTATACTTGTAATATGCTGAAACTCCGTTTCAGGGTGATTCACATTTAACATTTCGACTCTTCTTCTGAGAGTCCTAAATCATATAACTTGGAAGTCCTACTGTAATTTAAAACTCCAGTACTGATAATATTACGTTAGTGTCAACTGTTGAGGGTATCTTGATTTATTTAAAGTTCTATTGGAACTCGAGCAGTGATAACATAGGAGTGTTCTTTCAACAATATTTTGCTTTTTAATTTCAAGTCCTATTGAAAATATGATTCCGTCAAATCCAATTTGATACGAAGTATCAATGACATTATTGTTCAAGTCCTACTACAAGCAACACTGGTGTAATTTGAAGTCCTGAAAGTGAAACGTACCTGGTGGTCGATGTCAATATTCATATCCTGATATTGACATTCAGGAGCCGTGAGACTCTTTGAGGGTAAACACAGCTAATTGGTTATCGGAAGAGGAGGCCACGCGAGTCTTGTCATTGTTTTATTGATTGCGTACAGGTTGTTAGTAAACCTTGACAAATGATGACCTTTTTCAGTTCCCTTGTGGTTTTAGATAACAACCATTCTATTACAACTGTCTTATCTCTGACACCTCCGAGAAATTGTCCAGAATTTCCATGCCAAACTATCCGTTACTCTCGTCGAATACTACCATGCAAGTGTTCGTTTTGATTGACGAATCAGAAACAGGTTCACACTGAGATGTTAGATTTGGCAATCAGTACTCTCTCACGTCTGTTGTAGCCGGCCTAGCAGCTGTCAAGTCCGAAATCTTTATGGCACATTTAGTAGAACTGAATTGAAATTGATTTATACTGACCATGTTTCCTCTGATTATTGGGCCAAGGGCACAAATGGACCTTCATTTATGAGGTTACGATCTACAAATCTGGACCATTTGAGGGGAAAAAATCACAGCAGTTGAATATCCAGGAAACTCGACTCGATCTGGAAAAACATGACAAAATTGACAAACCGGAAAATATGACAATTGAATAATTTGACAATTCAGACCACTTGACTATCTGTAAACATCACTTTTCACCACTTGTTTTAATAATTAAATTGTTATTCACTGTAAATCCTATGAAAGGACTGCATGATGTACGGTATACGTAGGGCCTTGAGGAATCACTAAATTTCAAATTATTTTTACTGAAGGTGAACTGGAAGAGTTCAAATGTGTTCTTAGGGGTGAATGAGTTAAGTTAGACCAGTACATCCGTCTCTACTGTATAAACAGGCCATGACAAATAAGTTACCTGTGTATTTTATCTCATTTCCTTTTTGTTCTTGTCTAAAGACATTTATAGTTTGCAAGCCTTTTTAGGGAGTTAGAACATATTGAAATTATTCATAAAAATGTTGCAGAAGGAGTTTGAATAAAAATTATCACGAAAGGTAGCAAAGTGCATAAGGTTCCCGCTTTATAACTAGAAGGTCAGTGCTTTAAATCCCGGTGGTGAAGATGTATTAGGAATATCATATATAGTTATAACTTATTTAGTAAATAGGCAAGCGACTCCAAGTCAGATTAAATGTCAAACAAATTGGAACTCTTTTTCATTACATACAACAGACTGCTGGGACTCTCCACCTTAAATAAGAAAGTTGACATTGCCTGTTAAGAACCATGGCTCTGTAAAGGAAATGACTTATTGAGAGATGTTAAGGGTTTGTTCCTCACATTTTTTTAACATTTAATGTCAAGAATCCCAGGCCAATAAATTCCTATTTGCACTTCACAAAAATCAATGTTAGCTTGTAATCATTTTTAAGTCAACTTTTTGTGCAATCTTTTGTCAGCTGTAGCGTTGTGATGTAATTATTTTAGACAGAGTTACATTGAGGGACTGTGAAAGACATGTTGAATAATTCACTCCCACACTAGAATGTGTGCAAGCCAACATGCATTCTATTTTAAGAAAACAATCTTGGAACGGTGTTAAATTGTCAGTTTTGCCAATTTAATGGCACTAAGTCTTTCTGCTGTTTAAGAAGTGTGCGATTTGATAACATTTTGTCAGGTAATTATCGTAAACCCTTCAGTGCTGGTTATGTAATGGGGAGTCTTCATCAGGTTTTAGGTTAAAAATATAATCTGATAATTACAGCGTCTTCACAGGTTTCAATCTTCAGATGTGATCAATTTTAGTGTAATTTTTAACCAATGTTCAATTTTTATATGTTTTTATAGTTTCCCTCAACAATTTTTGTTCAAAATCCGAAAAGAGTCGGGGACATGAAGAATCACATGCTCATTTTTGTGTCGCCTGCAACGCGAGTCGACATATAGGTATTACTTTGTCGTCATCGGCGTTAAATGTCTGAATTGTTCTTGAAATTATTCAAGTTGTGTTGTCCAAAACAAGGTTCTCTTGCGATAACTTGAGTTTCCTTGGGTTGATTTAACTCAATCTTGGTACACATATTGCATACCAATATAGATCAGACAAGTTTGCATCTCAGAAGTTTACGTCCATTTATTTGGTGGAGTTATGCCCCTTTTATTGCCAAATAGGGCCATTGTGTAGTAAATGCAAGAACTTTTTATTTTTTTAGTCAATTCCTTTCAACTTTTGTACGGTAATGCTAGATGCAATAATGTTCAACATATATTACAGGTTTTTCTGTCGAGTTTTAACTTTCCGTGTTTTGGCAAATCTGTTTATGTGATAACTCAAGCCAAAACACTTTTCTTACTAAAAGCACTGAGCAGGCGACACATCCACTCCCGTGGAATTCTAGTTTAAAAATTATTGAAAAAATGAAGAAAAATAAAGGCAAGACAATTTGATTTATAAAGCACCATGCCGATTTAATATTTAAAACATCAAATGTAACAATGATATTTGTACATCAAGATGTGTGTACACAATTTCTATCATAATCTTTGTGTTCTTATTGAATTTGTATATTGACAATTCTAGAGATTTTGTTAATTTTCATCAGAGAAGTTCAGCTTAAATATTAAGATTGCTTCCCCTTTAACATTTTGTTTGATCATCTCCCCTTTGGCCTTTTAAATGATTATCTCCCCTTAAAATATGATTATCTCCCCTTGTGCCTTTCATGGCTGTATAGCTCTTACACAGTGGTCTTAAATTTTTGCCTCTTTTAATGATCTCCATTGTTGTATGTTTCAGCTGGTGGGAGAAGAATTTGACATTGAGAGTAATTTCATCATCCAGGAGCCACAGAATATTCTTCACACACTTCGACTCCTCACCAATTGTCCTGTCACACTGCAGGTAAGGTCAAATTTGAACTGTTCAAGGTCAAATTGAAGCTTATGACATTCAAATCAAAATCAAAATGATTCAAGGTCAACTCAAAACCTTTCAAGGTCAGATCAAAATTTATGACATTTAAATCAAAATCAAAATGACTCCAGTTTGAATCAAAGGTTGTAAAGGTAATATCAAAACCATTCAAGATCAAAGCTAACGGCCATCAAACAGGCTTAGATCAGAACAATTGTAATGAAATGAGCTTGATATTTATTTAGGGCTAGTTTAAGGTCAAGACTGATTGATGCTGTCAAATGAAAGATATTGGTATCAATTCAAATCTATAGAGATCAAATTTATCAAATCAAATCCACCATAGTTAAATCAAGACATCAAAGTCAAATCATTACAACACGGCTAAAATCAAAACTAATTGGGTCAAATCATTACAACAAGGTAAAAATCAAAAGTAATTGGGTCAAATCATTACAACACGGCTAAAATCAAAACTAATTGGGTCAAATCATTACAACAAGGTTAAAATCAAAACTAATTGGGTCAAATCATTACAACATGGCTAAAATCAAAACTTATTGGGTCAAATCATTATAACACGGCTAAAATCAAAACTAATTGGGTCAAATCATTACAACACGGCTAAAATGAAAACTAATTGGGTCAAATCATATTGTCAAGTCAGTTCAAAATTAATAGGGTCAAATCACATTGTCAAGTCAGTTCAAAATTAATAGGGTCAAATCAAGTTGTCAAGGTGAAATTTAAACTACTGTCCAATAAAAATAAAATGCCAAATTAAAACTAAGTGGGTCAAATAAAGGTGTCAAGGTCAAATAAAGGTGTCAAGGTCAAATTAAGACATCCAGGTAAAACAAAGATGTCAATGTTAGATATTAACTGCAGGGGTCCAATCAAGATGTCAAAGTCCAATCATAGTTACTGATCAAGGTACACATTGAGAAAGGTGAAATATTCAAAGTTATTTGAACATTTTTAGACATAAGATGCAATGTAAAAATCTAATCTTTGTTATTTATAATGGAAACATTGAAAACAATTTAAGAAGCTAAGGATTATACTATTGGCAAATGGAACAATGAAACCTCGATTTGCCCGACAATGAAAGGTCGGTAATAACAGTTCGATGTTTGCCTGCTCACTATTGTACGTGTAAATTATATGCACAGTATACAATGCTTTTGCTGAGGTTGCAAAATTGTGGCCATAAAAATTAAACTAATGGAATAGAAAAATTGTTAAAATCAATACAGCATTTACATGGACCTCCAGCACTGCATATAAATAGAACTGGAAATAGCTTCTAGATTGATGCCGTACAAAATTAAAAGGTCAGGTGGAAATGAACCATAAACGGCTGATGGATCATGAGTCATATAGTGTAACAGCTACATATCAATTTATTGACTGGTTGTGCCTGCTGCCACTGTCGCCCTGTGATGTTTGTCACTTGACTGAAACATCAGTGATAGTCTTTGTTGATTTTTTTTTTTTATGATTTTATACATATTTAACTGGTTTTATAACAGATTAACATTGCATGTGACTTGAAGTGTTATAAGATTAAAGAGGATTTGTCATGATATTTTTATTTCTGCATCAATAAATTTCAATGAATAAATCAAGAATTAGTCAGATTAATAAATTGTAATTAAAAATATTATCGGTAAAACTGATATGAGGATCCTCAGAGGTGGGCCAGGCCAACCTTCAATGATTTAATTACAAGTTGGGGTTATGTTGCATCTGTGATGCTTAAATAGTCATCAAAATCGTAAAAACAAATAAAAACATATATGCTTGTGGCTTAGATCAAATGACAACACTCAGAGGACATACACAGAAATACTTAAATGTGATTATATTTCTTCACCCACATGTACTTCTGAATGTTTTGTTTTGATTTTTTTTCAAGCTTGACATATTTAGTAGATGATCCAAAACGATTCCCCCCTGTAGTTAGTTCTGACTTTCAGATTATACCAGATGTGTTCAGACTTTGTATCACTTTATAGACATGTTTATGCAAATAAAATCTTTCATTTTTAAGAGCATTTGGCAAAACAGAATTTTGATTGGAAGACTCATCTTTTCCCACTGAAGCTCAATATCCACATATTTTGAAATTCTTTTCTTTGTTCACACCTTAATGTGTTTGACTAAAGATTTTTTTTAAATGTTTAATGAGAACTTGCACAAAAGTCACCTACAAACATATGCCAAAGATCCTATCCTAAATATCAGATATCAATGTATGTGTTACAGGCAGAGATATGGAGTGTGTTTACAGCCATTTTGAAGAAGAGCCGCCGGAACCTGCAGGCGTGTACAGAAGTAGGGCTGATCGAACACGCACTTAACCTCCTCAAGGACACCGAAGACGTCATAGCTGGTCAGTCCACTACTCATGGACACCAGTCCATTTCACCTAAACGAAATCCAAGGTCCCTTGTATCTACGTTTGCATACTTATCTACACATTTGGTGTAATGACTGCACTTTGACACTCATACTACACCCTATTCATATGTCAAAAATGTGCAATGTGTAGTCCCTTGTATATGATGCCTGAATGCACACAGAAAACCAGGATCTTGTTACCGGAAATTTGAACTCTGATTGTTCTGGTATGCCTGGCACACTATGAATAAAATACGCATTCTGAGAATAAGATATATCTAGTAAACAGGTCTAACAAATAATAATAATAATAATAATTTGAAGTTCTTATATACCGCTTTATCACTACCTAGTTCGTAGGTCGTCTCAAAGTGGTTCACAAATTATAGGGCTATAGGGCCTTTGCAACCAGCCAATATCTTTCTCAACTCCCTGGGGAGTATACAGCCGGTGCTGCCATTTCGGCGCTCACAGCTAGCATTCTACAATTGTAGCACTGCCTAACCACATACTCATTTACAGCTGAGTAGACTGGAACAAGCAGAGTAAAGTATCCATGCTGTGCCGTGACTCGAACCCACAACCCTTCAATCACGAGCCCGGCATCTTACCACTAGACTACCGTGCCTCCAAAGGTCTAACAAAACAAATTGTATTGATGTCCCAAATATATACATTTCTTCTTGCAAACCATAGCTTGCTCGTATTGATATGATACCATTTTGCACATATGTATATGGCAGTCATCGTTAACAATATTTAACCAAAATTTATTCGAAACCTATGGAACAAAATTGGAGCAAAACGGATTCAAAAGATGAGCACCGTAATCTGTTAAGATAAAAGTGAATTAGAATTTAAAAAAACCAAAAAACAATAAGGTTCCCCCCCACCACCACAACAAATAAAGCAATACCAATTAGGATGCCCCAAAGAAAGAAAGCATTTCAGGATACTTTTATTACCTAATAAAAATTGCAAGTACAGCTTAAGGAATTCAAAATCACATTCACTCCACTTTGGAATTAAAAATTTCAAAGGACAAAAGTAAAATTTACGCGGTACAGGGTAGATTTTTAGTTTCACAATAACTATTTTACTGTACAGACCTTGTAACACTAAAAGCAAATGATCAATACATTTTTCAATAACGGCAGACACCGATACTGGTTTTAGCATAATTCGTCTATCTATAATTCACTCAGTAGATCTGAAAATGGAAATCTATTCCTGAAAGGTCGTAGCTTGTGAATTTTATAATAGTGTTCTCCTTGGTTGGGAATGCCAGAGTTTTTATGTCAAATTGTCAAAAGGTATAGCACACCCTTGGGATGAAGGTTCAAGTTTGTTCAATGGCGAATTTTATACAAGTATATGTTGTAGGTGTAAAATCAGAGTAAGGCTATATAAAGTCAGTCATGTCTTCATGGTTGCAAATAAATGGATTTTCTGGCTTTCTGCAGGGATGGTGAGGACTGTTGGTTCAGTGACAATTTATACAAGTATATAGGGGTGGAACCAGAATAAGGCTATCAAGTCTGTTTTGAGTGTCATTTCTTCAAGGTTGCAAACGGATGGAATAACTGGTGTTCCCCTTGGGATGGAGATTAAAGTTTGTTCAGTGACACAGTTACAATTGCCAAAAGGAGGGTCGAAACTCGGCTTAAGATGATCATAATCAGATCATTTTGGCTTTCACAACTGTACTTGGCTGTAGAATTATTGATTACAGTATAATCCATTTCTTGCCGGTGGTTAAGATTCCCACTAGTATATATTGCCTTGCATAATTATACATGTATCCATAATCTTAGCTCACCTTGTAGTTTGTAAAACTCTTATAACTAAATAAAATTTTCTCTGGAAATACAAGGCTTGGAGTCATGACATGCAATTTGTCTGGTAAGATTATATGTTAGGTAAATTTGTTGACCTGATTTAGGAAAAAGTGTCTGTATTGTTGATATTAGGGCCCCGGTTTCACGATTATCAAAATGTAGGAGCTTCTTAACTTCGAAGATACATTTTCAATAATTCATTGCAAATGCTATGCATGCAGAATTATGTCTTTCAACTTATGCAATGAAAAACTGTCAACATTGTCAGAAAATCAATTGCATGTTATTGATGTGTAGGTCTGTTAATAGACATTTTATACGAGGTAAGAATATTCTCCCTTACTTACATCATGTATGAGAAGTTCCCCCACCTTCAGGTTGTTTGTAAACTAGGGCAGACTTGTGATGATATCCAATTTGCTCAGGAAATAAAAGATATTCTACTGAATGCCCAGAGTTGAAAAAATCAACCCAGAAGAAGTTAATTTACAATGAAACCTGTATTAAGGATATGCCAACACCCTATATCGAGACTGAAATGGGAAATGTATAATCACACGTACTTCAGAAATAACATTTCCGATACAAAGACATAAACTGACTCACGGAAAGACACTGACAAGAGACCAGACAACTTCAAGAAGGTCATACAGTATATGAAGCACATGGAATGCGGACTGATGTGTTTTCACTTCCTTACAGTAGTTCATGAGCTCGAGGTCATTACGATTTTCGGTGTCTAGGTAGTTACGCTCTGTGGAGTAAATCTTTTTTTTATAATGACACTGCCTCTGTTAAAATAGTCTTTGTTAAAATATCAAGATTCATATGACAATGCATGTGTGGGTGCACGTGAGAACGGCATGCCATCCGATAGCCTCGGGTTACATATGTACCTGACATGTAAATATACCATGCGCTGGCGGTCTGTGGAATGGTGTCCAAAGTGTGCAAAAGAACAATAAATTCTCACTTTTGATATCATAATTTTAATGTCTTATCATTTTTGATAATTTTTGAAAGAGATGACTATCATTGTGTAGATTTTATCCCTCTGCAAAAAGTTCCGATTTTTTTCAAGGAAGACAACTCTCACCATGATCAAAATGATTGTAAAATGTAGAATAAATTAATTATAAAGCCATTGTGTATATAAATTTTGTTCAATTTTCCACTATTTTTGTATGAAACTTTGTGTCCTGTTTGCTTTTACCTTGTAATTAATCACTTTTATCCATACAATTTCAATAAAAAACACTTTGTGTAACGTGTTTTAAATATTTTTTGATAATTAAAATATTTGCAGGGTTAATTAGCAATGCTTCTTTTCATTTTTTTATTGTTGTTATTGTTCCGAACAATGCCACACACCAAAAAAATGGAAAATATTAAAATTGACGAAAACTAATTTTTTGGGGTATTTTTTCCAAAAAATCCCAAGCGTGTCGGAATGCTTAGATTTTCATAAAATTACCTCTGCATAGTTGCTTAACCATTATGTGATTGTGAAAGGGTGAAGCCTGCTTAAGAGAGCTATGCTAAGGAATTCCAAAAAGTGGTCTCTTTTTGCAGGTGCTCTGTTTATAAGGGTTAGCTCATAATGTTCAGGTGTTCTGTTAACACAGGTGTTCGTTTAACACAGGTGTATATTCTGTTAACACATGTATTCTGTTAACACATATGATCTGTTGTGATCTGTATACACAGGTGGTCTGTTACTACAGGTGATCTGTTAACACATGTGGTCTATTAATACAGGTGATCTGTATACACAGGTGGTCTGTTAATACAGATGGTTTGTTAACACAGGTAGATATTCTGTTAACACATGTATTCTGTTAATACAGGTGATCTGTATACACAGGTGATCTGTTAACACATGTGATCTCAGGTGATCTGTTAACACATGTGATCTGTTAACACAGGTGATCTGTTCATTGAGATGGTCTGTTAACACAGGTTATCTGTATACAAAGGTGATCTGTATACACAGGTGGTTTGTTAACACATGTGGTCTGTTAACACATATGACCTGTTAACACAGGTGATATGTTAACACAAGTGGTCTGTTTATGGAGGTGGTCTGTTTACACAGGTGATCTGTAAACAAAGGTTGTGTGTTTACACATGTGGTCTGTAAACACAGTGATCTGTAAATATATGTGGTCTGTTAACACAGGTGATCTATTAAAGGAGGTCATGAGTAGATGTATCACCATGCCCCTCCATAACACTTAAATTTGGCTGGGCAAAACTGTTGTAATATGACCAGATTTAGCTTTATCAGAAATTTGATATTTAATTTCCATGGTACCACATGGAAGATTGTTTAGATTAATTTTTTTATCAGGATCCATATTACATTTCAGATCTGATGGTGGAGATGCTGGGTGTTCTGGCTACCTACAGTATCACTGTTAGGGAACTCAAGATGCTCATCAGTCTACTCAAAGCCATGGACGGCAAGTGGGTCAGTATATAGCAGCCTAGACACATTGTTGGATGTTCTGTGTTGTACTTGGTCAAGAAAAACCTTATGAATCCACCAATAGAAATGTCTCTTTTCAATGGTTACAGCAGATGTTAATGACAGACAGCCTGTCATAATTTCCAAAACATTCTGGATCGATCCCACCGAGGTTTAATTTTATCCCACTTCTACCCAAATCCCGGTGGGATCCAAACAAAGTATCCACTAGATTTACACTTGGATTCCCAGTCAAATTTTCAGTTGGGATTTAAACAATCTATGTTCCTGAAAAATATTTTTCATCAAATGGGTATACAATTTTCTTTTATAAATTTCTTCAAAATCCAATAAATATTTTACTGTAATATTCATCAGGTATTTTCATTTGAGTCATGAAGTTGGCAAAATGTGTAAAATTTCCTCAGTTGATAGTTGTATAAGACTGATTTGAAAAAATAAATTTAAACAAGGATAATTACAAAGTTTAATCTTATCATTCTGTACAATATTTTGTGGTGTATAAACAGTCTATTTTTTCTTTCGCAGCCCCAACATTCCGTGAAGCTGTTGTCCGTCCTCAAACTGATGCCGCGACGAGATGGCCCAGATGAGTTTTTCAGTTTCCCCGGTAAAATAGGATCTGTAAGTTTCATCCACTCCAAAAGGATAGAAAATCTACAGTGATAACCTGAACTCTTAGTAATGTGTCTGATTCCAAAATTAACTGGCCATGAAAGAAGGGCTTGGATTCCTTGCAGTCAAATATATCTAAGAAACAAAGCTGCTTTGAAAACAAGCCTTGTACCCAAGGTAGAAGTCGTACTGTGAAGTTTGCGTAAGGTCAGACACCAGCTTATTACAATTATTACTACTTATATTTGAATGTTTTTTGAAATTCCCTTCTTTCTATCAGTATATGTTTCTGCTCTGCCAATATTCCGTCTGCGTATTGCAGAGTTATCTTCTCTTATGAGCAGGTATTGATTGTTACGTCATTTGTTTATGAGAGTAACGTCATCAATTTTTGAGAAAACGACGTAATTTTCTCACACAAACCAATGACGTAACAATCAATACCTGCTCACAAGAGAAGATAACTCTGCAATACGCAAGGCGTAATAGGTCTGGCAACATACAGATCTCACAACCAGTAATAAAAACATGCTTTAGATGACTGATACTCCAGATAATTTCGAAATTACAGCTGCCTTGAAAATAGACTGGCTGATTTAAACGTGCTTTTATGAGCCGTTCAGTATGTCTTTAATTATATCCTCATGTTTGTATGATCTTGTTTGGTAACAATATACTCTGTTTTTCCTATTGTAGCATATCAGTCTACCACCAATCAAAACGTGGCCGTATCAGAATGGCTGGACATTTTCCTGTTGGCTGCGACTTGATCCTGTCACCGGTGTTACAGTGGAGAGGGAGCGCCCATACCTGTACTGGTAAGACTGTTGTAGTTATTCTACATAGAGGATAATTAATGGTTTCCCATATATAGTTTTCATAAGTATGGCAGAATACCAATATCTTTTACGAATGCAAACTAAGGACTGGTGACATGGTTGTGACCATGCCAATGGGATTGCTAGAAATTATCAAGTACAGAACTGTGAAATCAGATATTTTCATGGGGCCCAAATTTCGTGATTTCTTTCCAAAACGCCATTTTACATGAATTCGTGGATTACAAGTACCCATTCAAATGGAGAATCTCTTTATATCAAACTGGTAATTACTTCGTGGACCTATGAATTCTGGATGAAGATAACTAACAAAATCAGCGAAATTAAAAAACCCTTGAAAATGAGTGATTTTGCAGCATAAAATAAAACCCATTATGGTGTAACAAAGAATAATGACATAATAACATAAACGAGGATGAAAGACTTTCCTGTTTAATTTTTGGATGAAATGTGCATTTTACATAGTTTAGTGAATCATAAAGAAATTAAAAAAAATATCCGCCTAACTTTTATGAAATTTGATGAAACTTTTTTACCAAAAGTCTTATGTATTGAATACCAAGTGATTTTCAACACTGACCATTGAAGGCCTTTCTAAACTGAGCATACAAACTTTACATATATGTGTGTATGTATACTGACCAACTGCTACTCTCTAGCTTCAGAACAAATAAAGGGGTTGGATACTCAGCCAACTTCCTGGGGAACTCGCTCGTACTTACCGCTATGAAGGTGAAAGGAAAGGGATTCCAGCACTGTGTCAAACACGATTTCCAACCCCGAAAGGTCAGTGGCCATGACAACCATACAAAAATATTACACTACAAATTCCATGATTTAGGTTGTTTACGTTGTCTGTGCACATGCTGTCACCTTTGTTAGATGATTAATCATGCATAAATATTTTACTTAGTTACAAATCTCTTGAGATGCCTCAGAATTACCTTGATGACCAGAGATACATTGAATATAAGACTCTTTTATTTCTGTGGTGTAGGATGTGGAAATTCCACCCAAAAGGGTTTTCAAATTTGGTGAAACCTGATGCTTGCGAGGGTTTTGCACTAAATGTGAAAGTTACAAGGCTGGAAGTTCTCACACCCCTGAGCATGAAAAGTAGTTGTCTCTTAATCCAAGCACCAAAATTAGATCAGAAACCACAACAAGTATCGACTCCCTGAAAGGTATGGGGGTCATTTGCCCGACCACGTGGGTTTTCTCCAGGTACTCCGGTTTCCTCCCAAATAAAGATCCCCTGTGCCAACAAGAGTGATAAATATCAGTTGTAATAACTTGTTTCATAATTGTTATGAAAGAAATATAGTTTCTTTTCAAATAACCGAGTTGTTTCCCTTGTTTCCACAGTGGTACATGGTGACGCTAGTCTATGTCTACAATCGTTGGAGTAAGTCGGAGCTGCGGTGTTATGTTGACGGAAAGCTTGTTTCCCACACAGAGATGTCCTGGCTCGTCAATACAAGTGATGTAAGTGTTTTCTCCAGTTCTGTCTTTTACCTGTGTCATGCCATTTTGAATTGAAGTATATCAGAATTTAGATATTGTACCTTCAATGTGATTTTATTTTAAAATCAAAACAATGGGAAAAACATAACAGGTTTTAAAAAAATGGCTTTATGCTACAGTATTAAATTCTACAAAATCTTGTCAATATTTTAGCAATACAAGATGTATAGCTTCTATCATTCCTTGATATTTCCACAACATGAGAATGACCTTGACCTCTTTCGTTTTTGCCCTTCCAGCCATTCGACAAGTGTTTTCTGGGAGCAAGTTCAGAGGTTGAGGCTGACCACATGTTCTGCGGTCAGATGTCCAGTGTGTACCTATTTAGTGAGTCACTATCCCCACAACAGATTGCAGCTATCTACCAGCTAGGACCTAACTATAAGGTGTGTATACTAATCTGTTAAAGCTGACTGATTGGTTAGTAAAAACACAATGTATTGATAAAATCTAAACTCTTCAGTTAATTAAATGTATCCTGTTTATATACAGTTTGCAAATATTGTTAGACCACAAGAGTTTATAAATATTCTGCATGTATGATGCAAATTTGACTAAACATACAAATCTCTAATATGAAAAAATATTTCAATTTATATGTTTTTATTTTTTATTTTTTTCAGAGTCAGTTTAGATTTGAAAATGAGAGTGGTCTGACTGGAAACAACATTAACAAAAAGGTATTGTAGTACAAATGATTGTGTGAATGTGGCCATGGAAGATTGGTATTTTCATTTTTATGCTCCCCGGGCTCTATAAAAATGGAGTGAGGGGTCAGACTTAATTGGTCTTATGTCTGTCCAGTCACAATTTGTCGTTGACTTTAATTTAATTACATCCGTAAATTACTGAGAAGGAATCACTTTATATTTAAGCTGAAGTGATTTTGATGATGTCCTGTTGATGGATTTGTTGTTTACCTTGATTTGATGAAAATACTGAAATATATATCACTTTATTTTAGAATGTAATAAATTTTTAAAATGTCTTATTAAGGATATGTTTTTAGGTCTGCAATCTGCAACGATATCTTACCATGACGATACGATGTGTATCATAATACTGAGGTCATAATACGATAGATATATACATGATACATATAGTAATAGAAGAAGCAAAGAGAAAAGATATGTTGCAAATTTTAAACGGCAATATTACAACTGGAGATAGACTTGGTCCAAAATGGGCATAGATTTCACACAATTCATGTATTTCGATGTGCATGCCAGAACCGATACAAGTAGACTAAATTCAGAAATGACAAAATCCTGAAAATATTGTAGATGTATCATAACCTCCCAAAAATACTGTTTGGTACTGTATTCAAAATATCGGGATATATTTCGTCACACAATATATCGTTGCAGGCCTAGTGTTTTTAATGGCATTGTTTCTTGTTCTCTAGCTTGTGTATGACGGGAAGCTGACAAACAGTATCTTGTTTATGTACAACCCCATGGCCTGTGACAGTCAGCTGTGTCTGGAATCTTCTCCCAAGGGAAACCCCTCCTACTTCGTACATGTACAGCACGCCCTCATGTCACAGGTCAGTCTGTACTCCGCAATAAACTCTACTCGCATTTCAAGGAAGTTTTATTTTTGTTATGTTTGGGGCCTGAAATATACTTTATATGTTCACTTCTTATATATCAAACACTATTGACAATAAATCAATTTTCTCAAAATTTAAATTTGTAACAAAAAAAATAATAATAGAGAGGGGTTAAATATACTATATATATTCACTTCTTATATAGATTTAGGACTATTGACAATAAATTAATTTTCTCAAATTTAAATTTGTAAAAGATAAACAAATAGAGGAAAGGGGATATAAGTCTACAAAGAGTGGTGAAGTTATACAAATTAAGAGAATGTAAATAGAAGCTACAGGAATTAATCGTCTGTGGTTGTTGTTTCAGGATGTAAAGGCGGTGATAACCCAGTCCATTCACAGCACGCTCCATTCCCTCGGTGGTGTACAGGTGAGGAATCTCTACTTGTCTCTGAAGAATTTACCTGTATCAATATTTAATACTCACTACCAAATAGGATTAAGTTCATTTTAACAAATTTGAGACCTCGAAATCAGGAAACTGTAAAATTTATGAAAACTTCAAAAATATATACAGTACAGTTTTAATCCTAAAGACAATAGCTGTTCATATATCTATTCTTTCTCTTGTAGGTGTTTTTCCCACTTTTCGGTCAGTTGGACTTCCCTGTGGACAAAGGCGACAAGTCTGAGGTAGACCACACCATATGGTAAGTATGTGATGAATGACAATTTTAGACATCCCATCACTGCCTTCTCTGTGACAGTAAGGTTACACATACATAAAATGTCTGGTTATATGTAAACCTGAAGGACAACTTGACGCAGAGGTGGGAAAAACATGTAGAATAGGAGTTTAAATACTTTGGCAGTAAACAAAGTGGTAAATATAATAGGGTTTTTAGGTCACCTGAGACAAAGTCTCAAGTGACCTATTGCGATAGGCTTTTGTCGTCCGTCGTCCGTCGTGCGTCCGTAAACAATTTACATTTTCGACTTCTTCTCCAAAACCCCTAAACCAATTTCAATGAAATTTTGCAGGGACCTTCCATGGACAAAGGTCAACAGAAATAGTTGCCGGTTTAGTCCTAAGCCCCCAGGGGCCTGAGGGGCGGGGCCAAAAAGGGTCAAATTGACGAAAAATTTCCAAAAACTTCTTTTCCAAAACCCCTGAACCAATTTCAATGAAATTTTGCTGGGACCTTCCATGGACAAAGGTCAACAAAAATAGT